GGAAACTGAAGGATGAAACTACAAAGGAGATCTTCAAGGCAGCCATCAAGACAAAATGGGAGACATCGAGCAACATCCCTGAAGAAACCTGTGTGGAAGAACATTGGAAGTCTTTGAAAGCTATGTGGAAAGAAACCTGCACAACAGTATTAGGAAGGAAGAAGAAAGAAGACAAGGAATGGATCTCGACGGATACCTGGAAGCTGATAGAGGAGAGGAGGATGGTGAAGCAGAAGATAAACCAGTGCAAGGATGCTCAACGACAAGAGGAACTGAGCACAATGTATAAAACACTGGACAAAGAAGTGAAGAAGAGTGCACGCAAAGACAAAAGACACTTCTACGAAACACTGGCAAGTGAAGCAGAACAGGCTGCAGGTAAGAGAGACCTGACGACATTGTATCAAATAACCAGGTTGCTGTCAGGGAAGAGACCAACACAGATGAAACCAATAAAAGATGAAGAAGGAAATTTAATTACAAAAGAAGAGAAACAGAGGAAACGATGGGCCGACCACTTCAAGAAGCTCTTGAATCGACCACCACCTGCACTTCGTCCAGAAATACCACCTGCAGCCGCTGAACTACAAGTGAACATTAATCCCCCAACGAAAATGGAAGTCCTGAACGCCATAAAGCTACTGAAATGTGGGAAAGCAGCAGGACCAGATGGAATACCGCCAGAAGCACTGAAAACAGATGCAGAGACAACAGCGGACATGCTCACACCACTATTGCAGAAGGTGTGGAAGGAAGAGAAGGTACCTGACGATTGGAAGAAGGGTTACCTTGTCAAACTGCCGAAGAAGGGAGACCTCAGTGCTTGCAAGAACTGGCGCGGAATCACTCTCCTGTCCACCCCAAGTAAAATATTAAGCCGCATCATCCTGGAGAGGCTAAGGGATGCACTGGATTCAAAACTACGACCGGAACAGGCAGGCTTCAGGAAGTACAAATCATGTGCAGACCAAATTGCAACGCTTCGCATCATCATAGAACAGAGCATAGAATGGCAATCACCTCTCCACCTCAACTTCATCGACTTTGAGAAGGCCTTTGACAGCGTCGACCGAGAGGTAATTTGGAAACTGCTTCATTACTACGGAGTACCGCAAACCTTTATCCGCCTCATTCAACAACTATATGAAGATGCCACATGCCAAGTAATCCACAATGGGAAGCTCAGTGATGCCTTTGAAGTGAAGACAGGAGTGAAACAAGGTTGCCTACTATCCCCCATGATATTCCTTATTGTGGTGGACTGGATCATGCAGCAAACAGTAGGCAGCGAGAAGAGGGGGATACACTGGACGACGGAAAAGAACCTAGAAGACTTGGATTTCGCCGATGACTTATGCCTAATGTCACATAAACTTGAAGATCTGCAGGCAAAAACTAACAAGTTGATAGAAGAGGCAGCGAAGACGGGACTTCAGGTGAATATAGAGAAGACAGAAGTGATGAAGATACCGCACCACCACCATCAACAACAACAACAAACTCCAATCACCGTCAACGGGAGAAACTTAAAGGAAGTAACCTCCTTCACTTATCTAGGAAGCACTGTTTCAACTACAGGCGGGACGGACGAGGACGTCAAAGTCAGAATCGGAAAAGCAAGACAGGCATTCATTAGCCTGAAACCAGTGTGGAGATCTTCTGCACTCAGCATGCGGAACAAGATACGGATTTTCAACACCAACGTCAAGTCAGTGCTCTTGTATGGCTCAGAGACTTGGCGCGTCACGAAAGGTATTTCCAATAAACTACAGACATTCATCAACAACTGCTTACGCTCGCTGCTGAAGATCAGATGGCCAGAAAAAATAAGCAACAAGGAACTCTGGGAACGAACCAACCAAGAACCTATCACGCAACAAATATGCAGGAAGAAGTGGAGATGGATTGGCCATGCACTGAGAAGGCCGACTGAGGACATCACGCGTCAGGCCCTCGAGTGGAATCCCCATGGGAAGCGACGAGTTGGACGTCCAAGGGTGACATGGAGGAGGTCGTGCGAGGAGGAAATGAGAGCTTGTGGGCTGTCGTGGGACCAGGTTCAAAAGATCTCAGAGAACAGAGGTCACTGGAGGCGTGCTACTGAAGCCCTATGTTCCACTAGGAACCCAAGGGACTAATAATAATAATAAATACTATTGAACATCATCAGAGTTGATCCTAAATTAATCGAGTGACTTCTTTTTCAATCTAATGGAAGTCAAGTTCTATGGAGACAACAAAGTTTGTGTGTTGAACTAGTGTAATATGGCTCGGGCAGTTAATTCTCTATAATTGGTACATCAATAGAATAATCCTCTCCTAGTACGGGTCTAGTTCGATTTCCATTTACGTGAATGCTCTGGGGTAGCAATAAATGTATAGCTTAGAGCTTTTGATCATGAGGAAGCTTATTCTTGTGGGCTGAGTTAAAATTAGGATAACCCATATCTTCTGGGCGGTGGTATATCTGCATATGAATGTTTATATCAAACAAATCACGTGTCATGCAAAATACAGATATGTTTTGTAAACTCACTGGTGTCATTCATTAAGTGCTCTTTCAGACGGATATAATTTATATGATAAGCAATATAAACACATGATAATAATTTACATCTATGTATAACAAAATAACCTGAGAGTATTCTTCGTAGTTTCATAAGCAAAACGAAATGCATTTAGAATAATTCTGTGTTGTTGTCATACAGTCAATGGCAACAGTACTACGTCCCACCTAATAGATGATAATCTCTGTAAACAGTTACAACAGTTATTTTTGATTATTCATTTGTTCATTAATTTTCATTCAAATGTAAAACGATACTAGCGTTTGATTCGGAACATCTTCATGTTTTTGTTTGCAGGCATATTTGTATTACGGAGTAATCTGCGAACGTTTACACATTAAGACTTGTATCTAGTTTATATGATAAAATATTCACATACTTAGTATAACCGATCAGTCATGTGTAGTCAGTTTTCGGGGGTAATAAATAAGACTTCCGAAATAGTATGGATGGAAAGGGACTAGCAGTGGAATCCAGCAGTCATTCGACAATTGGATGTACCCGTCTCCAAAGAGTGATGTCGTTCCCACTCAACGACGGAGATGCACTAGACTCTACTAAAGTTGTCGTACAACTAGTGACTGACGTAACTCAGTGTCCTAGCGTATAATGCTCTGGCGTTTGAAGCGACTACTCCTGAGTCCGAGTCTTAGTGGGAAAGACATCAGGCACTAGGAGTCAGCCACGGCTTAGTGACGAGTTCCCAATAAGATTTAACGCATCCTGGATTCCATTCCTAGTCACTATCCATCGCTAATGTCAAGGCAAAGAAGCATATATGCCAATAGTGCCCAATCAGTCATGTCAAATCAATGACAGAGATGCACATGGTATTTCATCAGAATTTCGAAATAGTTTTGAATTTATGTAGTTGTTACACTGAATCCAGCTTGTAAAAAGTAATTGAATTTCTTACATATCTGAGTATCAAATTCCTAACTTTAAATGGAAACAGCAACTATTCGTGCCATTTTAGAATTTGCTTTACTCCAACGTTTCTAGGCCCAGAGCTACCATCTAATTGACAGCTATCATCCCACACCAAAATACAGAAGAAACAGCTTACTGATACAGACTAATAGTTCCAATAGTTTAGCGCTTCAATGTTTTGTAACATAGACGAAGTTTGTTTGAAATCGCATACTGAATAGTAATCGCTGCTTAATAGATCTAGGAAAATGTCGCAAAATGATTTAGTAGCAATTAAAAGTATAAAATATTCCACTTCTCTTTATGATAATATTAGTATAAACTGATGAATATGTCGAATCAGCTCGATCATAAATAACTTTACAGAATAGTTCAAATGACGTCAGTCAATGTTTGCAGTCAGAAAAAACCAATACAAACGGGCTCATCTCCGATTTTTTCTACCATTAATCTTGAGAAATCCTAGTTTTTGCTGTAGTTGCGCAATAAATAAGAATGAGATTTTTCAAAGACCAAAGCCCTAAGAATCAAAAGAAGCGCGTCATCTTCACTACCAAAGGTAACTTATTTAACTTATCAGTATTCGTATAAAAAGAAGTCACACACCAGTAACTGATTGCAAAGGCATTTTCTCTGGCAAGATGGCTGGCAATTTTGAAGGAGATTGCACTCATTTTGTTAACCTTTCACTCTATACAATGTCATTATGGTCTCTGTCGTTAAAAATAAAGTCTTTTTATCACAGCTCCTTTGGCAAAATGAAGTATAAAAACTGATAACTCTTTAGCTTCTTTGTTCTTCAAACCTTTCTCATTTATTTGATCAACTTCTGTACACTTTATTTTTATTGACCTGCCTATTAATGTTATATATTGACTAATCTTATGCACAGTGGATTTTATTAAAATAAAGTCTGGCTTTTAGTAAACTAAGAATTAAGTTGACCCAATATTACAGTTTGTATTTTGAAAATTAACCGGATGATATCCACCTGTCTAACATCTTTCAAAAGTCACCGATCAAATTAGTAACAAGGAGAAGTAGCACAAGTGGGAATATGAATTCAACACAGTCGCAACTCTTGGGGCTTTTATAGTGATGTAAACTATGTTGTTTCTGGGGTTTCATAAGTTTCATCTCATCAAGAAACATATATATTTGTATTAGGTTCCAAGAAGTAAAATAATGAACGGAGAAAAATTTTGAAACGATTTCGTAATGTTTCTTCCGCCTAGATATGACTATTAAATACTTGTATTATATGCAGTAATAGTTAACAAACAGACTAAAACTTGTTTTGATGAGCAATTATTCGTTTTAAATATCTATTTTAGAAATAGGAAGTAGATATACTGTTATTTCTTCGCACGCCTGTTGCAATAAATAAGAATAAGTCACCCTTAATCCGATAAAATTCCATTTTTACTGACACGTTTAGGCCTAGTATTCCTGTTTATAAAACTCCTACCTAAGTTCATTTTCGTAAACATAGACTCAACTTACATATCCTAAAGATTTCATGAAGCGTTTTGTAACTTGTATGAAAAATCCACATACTGCATAATTCCAAAACCACATGTTTGTTTAGCAGTATTATTATTACTGTAAAATATCCAGTAGGTAAGACTTATGACTTGTTAAGTATTATGTCATGATGCTGTAACTTTTAAACCATTTAAACATGTGCTTCTAGCCAACTGGTATTATAGTCATCCATTTTCTCAGATATTTAAAAACTTCTCATTGTGTCTATTCACTTATAGTTATATGATTGGCGAACAATATCTGACCAATCATCAGCACAGAGGAAAAACTATCAAGTGCTTGTGTATATAAGTTGGATTGTTTTTGTAAGGTTGAAAAAATTCTGTTCAAGATTAAACAAATGTTTTTGGAAAGTTTCACTGCAAAATGCAATAGGTTCGTGGTTGTAAGTTGTATATAGTCAGAGTTTTGTCGACTGAACCGCTCAATCTATTATGCGAAGCAGTTTATCTAACCATCTCCCTCTAACAACTGAAATAAACTTGATTTACAGATGGTATCTGTTATAGCAATGATACACGGTACCTGCGTGTATTCAAATATTTGAATAAGTTTTTCGAACTAATAATCCTAGTGTCAATATTGTAAATACTTAACCGAATACAAGATGAACTAAATAGAGTGCGAATGTTGAAGAAAACTAAGGCAATGTGGGAGGATAGAATCCCATATCAGATAGTTAATTTGCGAAAGCAAAGTGACACAGTATAATTTACTAGATGTCTCGGGCAGAATTTTTTGATCATATTCATGTCAAATTAATCACATGACTTTCAAACTTCTTTTATACAGTCCAACACTTCATTCATTCATTTTATTGGTAGCAACATTTTCCAATCCTGAAGAGACTAAAGGATGCGCCGGATCCAAAATTACTGAAGAAACAGGCTGGATTCAGGAAGAACAAATCATGTGAGTATCAAATTGCAACGCTACGCTACGCATCATCATAGAACAGAGCATAAAGTGCCAGTTCAAAAACTTGGCGGGTCACGAAAAGCACTTCCAGCAAACTACAGACATTCATCAACAGCCGCCTACGCTCGATGCTGAAGATCAGGTGGCCAAAATAATAAGAATAAGAATCAAGGAACTTTGGCTGGGCAATGAACCAACCAAGAACTTATTACCCAACAAGTATGCAGAAGAAATTAGAGATGGATTGGGCATACACTGAGAAGGTCGACTGGTCATATCATGCGCCAGGCCAGGCCCTCCAGCGGAATCCGAATGTTAAACGACGAGTTGGGCGTCCCAGCTGAGGGTGACATGGAGATCATGTGAAGAAGAAATGAAAGCTTGTGAGCAGACGTGGTGCCAGGTTCAAAAGACTGCAAAGAAGAGAGTGCAATGGAGGCAAGCTACTGAATCCCTATGTTCCACTAGGAATCCAAGGGGAAAATAATCATAAAAATAACACTTTCCAGATATCTGTAATATGTGATGAGTCATTCCTGTCACGCATGTCAGGTGTGGATTCAGTGAACAAAGACTCTGTGATCAATCTCTCCCTCCACCTAGCCAGATTGGTCTTGTGATTGGCACCCAATTCCACTCCAATAGATCAGTTCTCGTTAATTTACTTACCTTGGTAGGACCCATCATTGTGTATTTCGCTTAACCTTTGCTTTCTGCCATTCTGGCTGTTCCGTGATCAGCTGCTTTGACAGACATACTTGACTTCATAATCCTAACACCGTACTTTACAGATTAGGTTATTTTTCCGAACAGCTCTTTTGGATTTCTCAGCCTAAAAAGTTTCGTTTTAGGCGAGTTTGTGATTTTAAATACCATATGGACCCCAACACTGTAGCAATTCCAAAGTAAAATTTCCGATGTATCTTCACCATACGTCAATAATACGGAGGCTTTAAACTCCCTCTTTGACATGCTGCAACAACCACTAACATTATCACTCCTTCTCTTTCCAGTCTTTATAAAAACATTTTATTCAGTTCCAGAGGTTAGTTATTCCGAAATATTGCCTCTTTGATGTGTTTCATTTCCTTGTTTAGGTCTTCTGAATTACTAGTCAAACCCCTAAGCTGATTACTTAGGTATTTGATCACGTCTTCTCTCACATATATAGGGTGAGATTATGTGAAATCCAGGTATCGTTTCGAGTGCTGGTTTTCTGATAAATATTAATATCTAAGCTTCCATCATCTCTCCGCTTCCTTTTGCAATCCAACATAGGTAATTCTCCTTCTTCATCTTCCACTTCGTAAGTGGATTTGATTGCATTTACTGTCAAGTTAATCTGTGTAGAAAACTCTGAATGTGTTCTGATTTTAAAACAGTTAATGTGTCATCTAAATGTCGCCGCCATACCTCTGGGTTAAATTAGTTATGTGACAGAGTGTGATGGGGTTGCGCGCGTGGGTATAATGATACTGAGAATCAATAGACACCTCAACCGAATACTTTTACGACTGAACTTCCTCAGTACCTTATGCTTCACTGAGCTGCGGAAGAATCAGAAGACAAAGACGACCTGTGACTGCAAGAACAGTGACAACTTTTATTAGGCAAATACATGACATATATATGTATTTACAAAACTCTCAGAAAGTAAAGCCATAAATGAACTAATCAGATTTATTGTATGAGGTCGAATTTTTTCAATCAGCTTCTCATGTCGGCACAAGCATAAATCACGACCTGAACACGATCTTGCCATGACTTGAAAACAATTCCTTATTGGTAGCCTTTTGTCGCTGCTTGTCAGTTAGAATGTTAGTAATGCTATTTCTTTCCAAATATCTATGAATAGTTTTCCTAACATTTAGGGTCTTGGAGATCCCATCGCTGCTCCTTCTGTTCGTTTTTATACTTTGTCTTGCAATTTGAAAAATTAGAAGTTATGCATAATCTATTCGATAGAAACTTTAGTTCTACTAGTGAGTTGATGGTCAGCTGTAGGTTCACTCCTGACTGCCCTAAGTTACAGTTTAACTGGTATATTTGTATAGAGGTTTGTCACATCAAAATTGATGTCCCACTGATGATGCGTTCCTATGAGTCACATAAAATGTGTGAACTTGTTCACGATTATAAACTCTCAACTTACAAATTTTAACGGTATCTGCATTAATTCTGGACTTTAAACTTATGGATACTGAAGAATTTTGGTGTTTGAAAATATCTATGGCTATTAATTCAACTTAATAATTTCGTTAAATAATATGGAGAGTTTTAGAATTTAATAGTTTAAAAATCCCGATGAAACAAAAGGCAGCGAACAATGACTCTTCCCAGTGATTTCAATCTCAAACTGTAAAAGTTTATGTAAATATTCTGTTCACATGGTAACAGAAAAGCAATGGTTCATAAAATATTTTTCAACGAAATTCATTGTCGATTGTAAATCAGGAGAAATTAGAAAAAAATTAACGAACTTTGTAAAGTAGTAACGAGAATAAAATTTATCAAGGCAGAGACAATATTAATTTCCTAAGTTAAATGATGTAATACGCCAAACGAAACTGGTGAATATAATCGGAAATGAGAATTTTAACGATAAAGGTGGGGTACTTGATACGTGAAAAAGCTTGAAAGAAAGTAATAAAAATTCCCTCACTGTTATCACATACGACTGTGCAGCTTGAGAACGATATTATTAAACATCTTTAACTTTCAGATTTCAGTTTAACTAATATGCTTTTGCAATCAACCTAACTTTCTCTTTGTTCTACATTTTTCAAACACTTACAGTGTATTAGGAGTAACCTTTAGACAGTTTCTAGACTATGGACAGCAATAATGAATGGTGACCAGCTGTTGAATTCGGAAAGCAAGTTTCGTCATATGAATGACTCTTAAGCTAGATTTACTTGCATTTCGGTGATTGACAGTGTTCCCCCTAGAGACTTTAACATCAAGTCTTTGACTTTTGTCAATTGATATTACTGTCCAACGTTTTTATAGTTAGTTGTGGACAGCTAAAACTATATGCCAAACGCAAGTGACTTTTTCCAACCAAAAGCAACTATATATTGCTTCTGAATTATTTTTAAATAATTTATCAATAATATGTCAATATTTCAATGAAATAAAGCCTTGAAAATGCTTTTATCTTCAGTATTGTTTTAGTTTTCATAATAAGCGGACTCTAGCAGAATATTTTTCTGCAGTTTTTGTTCACCGAGCTGTAAAATCCAGACTATCTTACTTTATTGTAGAAATTTACAAGAATTTTATGAATGTCATGAGGATCACAGAACTGAATAAATCCAATGGATTAGCCTGTCGCCTTCATATAAATCTTGTTTACTGACCATGGGTGGTAATTTCTCTCAATATATTATAAAAACCACATAACATCGTTGTGGGTAAATGTTCACTACAAATGCATATATCATAAATTATTAAGGGGTTGACCAGAATTGAATCAATGCAAATCCTAGCGATTTCAGACATTTGTCGGCTATGGAAGGAATGTGATCATCACATATCCGGGAGAGCATACGTCGTTAATTTTAAGAGTGCCCAATGTTTGATCCCTAAAACCATAAATTAAAAGTAACAATAAATGGAATAGTGCATGGTTTTCACAATTGTGTTAGCAGTGAATGCAAGATTCTCTACGCAAGGGTCAAGAAGAATCTACATAAGTTTCGTATATGTACTACTCTTTGTTGGCTTTGTGTAAAGTCAATAAGTGTAGAAATCGTTCACTTCAGTAGATAAGGAATAAGCCAAAAAAGTATTCTTACTGTTCACCGGTGGATGAAACTATATAATATAATAAAACAAATCAAAAGATAATAAGCGATTTCTTTACTGTCCCTATGTCATACTCCATTTTCAAAATCGAACCACTCCTAACTCAACATCACTTTGCGCTATGTATATGGATTTTATTATTTGTAGAACTTGGCAAGAATTTGTTGAAAAGAATATTCATCGTTCATATTGTTACTTTTTATTAAGATAACTATAAGACTTAAAATATAGATTTCTTTTTCATAGTAAATTTCCATAAATTCGGTTGAAGAAGCTGTGGCATAC